TGTGTGTGAGAGAGAGAGAGAGAGAGAGAGGGTGCGTGTGTGTGTGTGTGTGTGTGTGCATGTTTATGTGGTTTATGAGGACACAAATTTGTATAATAACATGGGTATGACATAGGTGATTTATGAGGACATTTTCAGTGTCCCCGTAATTCAAAAGGCTTATAAATAATTCAGAAGGAAGTTTTTTGGAAATCTAAAACTGCAGAAAGTCTCCTGTGAGGGGTAGGTTTAGGGGTAGGATTGGTGTAGGGCAATAGAATATACGGTCTGTACAGTATAAAAACCATTACGCCTATGGAGAGTCCCCATAAACCATAAAAACAAACCTGTGTGTGTGTGTGTGTGTGTGTGTGTGTGTGTAGAAAGAGAGAGAGAGAGCTTGAAATAAAATAAACGTTAACTAAGATAAATGAAAATAATAAACATAATCTATTATTTCTTCATTCTGAACTATTTCTGTACTCTGTTTTCATAAAAAGGCAATTAGAATATTGATTAAAAGCGGTTTTATTTCAGATAGGCCTACATTTGTCATTTTCACTTAGTTTAACTTGTTGTACTAAAATAACTAAAACTAAAACTGAAATAATAATTAAAAAATAAAAATGACAATACCATACAATAAAATGTAGAAAACTTACATTCTATATATATAATGTAATATCTCCCAGACTCTCAAATTACAATGACAATGCAAAATATAAAAATAAAAACTAATTCTTAATATTGATAAAACTATACTAGCATCACAACTATACAAAAATATTACTGATTTAAATGTACATATTAATGTGTGTGTGCGTGTGTGTATATATATATATATATATAGTACTGTAATGTTATATTTATGAAATTGTCATAAACAGTCACAGACCTGTATTTTGATAAAACTAATCAAAGCAACGGTTGTTTAGATTATAAACATCTGACTTTGGGACTTTCTAATCTAATATTTGAATTAGTCATTTTTATGCAGCTGTGAATAGTAATTAAACAATAAATATTAGTTCACTGTCATTTTAGTTAGTTTCAAGTCAAATATCAAATATAACATGTCTGAAAACAGTTGTGCAGTTTCAGCTTTTACAGTGTAAGTTTACCTGTCGGGCATTTGTCTGTAGCAAATAAAGCTGCTTCTGCTGCTGTCTAACATCCGTCTCTGCGTCACAGCTTTCTTCTCCACATCATGGCCTCTCGTAAGAAGGTGCTGCTCAAAGTGATCATCCTAGGGATGAGAATTAGCAGTGAAATCTGCTGAAACTGTTTTTTTTTTTATTTCATTGCAATGTAATAATGTAATATCCTGTCTGCATACAATTAAAATTAACAAATTAAATTACACATTACAATTACTACTATTCTGTATATGTACATTTAGTATATATATATATATATATATATATATATATACATACATACATACATAGAGTGCGGAACTAAAACTAAAACTGAAATAATAATTAAAAAATAAAAATGACAATACCATACAATAAAATGTAGAAAACTTACATTCTATATATATAATGTAATATCTCCCAGACTCTCAAATTACAATGACAATGCAAAATATAAAAATAAAAACTAATTCTTAATATTGATAAAACTATACTAGCATCACAACTATACAAAAATATTACTGATTTAAATGTACATATTAATGTGTGTGTGCGTGTGTGTATATATATATATATATATAGTACTGTAATGTTATATTTATGAAATTGTCATAAACAGTCACAGACCTGTATTTTGATAAAACTAATCAAAGCAACGGTTGTTTAGATTATAAACATCTGACTTTGGGACTTTCTAATCTAATATTTGAATTAGTCATTTTTATGCAGCTGTGAATAGTAATTAAACAATAAATATTAGTTCACTGTCATTTTAGTTAGTTTCAAGTCAAATATCAAATATAACATGTCTGAAAACAGTTGTGCAGTTTCAGCTTTTACAGTGTAAGTTTACCTGTCGGGCATTTGTCTGTAGCAAATAAAGCTGCTTCTGCTGCTGTCTAACATCCGTCTCTGCGTCACAGCTTTCTTCTCCACATCATGGCCTCTCGTAAGAAGGTGCTGCTCAAAGTGATCATCCTAGGGGATTCTGGGTAAGTGTTTGTGCAACATCTTTCTAGTATCCGTGCCGTTTAGATCAGTCGGCGCTGTCGTATGCACGCAGTGACACTTTGTCCTCTGTCATGCATATTTCAAGCAGCTGAACATATGTAAACATAACTGGCTTGACATGCCATCATAGGTGCGGCTGGAATCTGCTCGGTCCTCTGTGAAGAATGTTATCAAGACTTAAATCTATGCAGCTCAAAGAGGATGATATCAGTTGAAGCATTGCTCAATACATTGCCTGTTGAATGCATTTGTCCCGTTTGTCTTTGACAGAGTTGGGAAGACCTCTTTGATGAACCAGTATGTGAATAATAAGTTCAGTAATCAGTATAAGGCCACAATCGGAGCCGACTTCCTGACTAAGGAGGTGATGGTGGACGACAGACTGGTCACCATGCAGGTTTGCATTCATGTGTATTTAATCAGAGTGCATTTCACTCATACTACCGTTCAAAAGATTGGGGTCAAAAGACATCTATTCAGCAAAGATGCATTAAATTGATCAAAATTGAAGACATCATGTTCCAAAAGATTTTTTTATTTCACATAAATGCTGTTCTTTTGAACTTTCTATTCATCAAAGAATCCTGAAAAATAAAATGTATCAAAGTTTCCACAGAAATATGAAGCAGCACAACTGTTTTTAACGCTGATAATAATCAGAAATGTTAGTTGAGCAGCAAATCAGCATATTATTATGATTTCTGAAGGATCATGTGACACTGAAGACTGGAGTAATGATGCTGAAAATTCAGCTTTGATCACAGGAATAAATTACATTTTAAATGTATTAAAATAGAAAACGTTTAAAAAAAATTGTTTGGTTTTTTAATAATATTTCACAATATTACTGTTTGTACTGTATTCGTGATCAAATAAATGTAGCCTTGGTGAGCAGAAGAGACTTCAAAAACATGACAAAACCCCAAACTTTTGAATGAAAGTGTTATTCATGTATGGGTGAGTATCATAAAGAAATGTTTGGGGCATTTAAAAATTAAAATAAAAATTTTAATAAAAAAAAAATTAAAAAAAAATAATAATCAATCAAATTAATTTGAAAATAATAATAATAAAAAAAATACAGATGTTTTATTATTATTCATTTTTGTATTTATTATATTATTATTGTTCATTTTACTTGTGTAGTTTAATTTGTATGGTTTAAAGCAGCTTTATAGAAAATATGAAAAATTAGAGAAAAAATGATTTATGGACATTTTTATTATTTTAAATAAATTCCTATAAATTCTAAATTCCTTTGATTTTGGAGTGAAAAGGCCTAATATTTCTTAAAAATGAACTTTATGTCAGATCCACTCTTATATGCCTATAGTAGCAGTGATTTGTCAATTAAATGACTTGCTTGGAAAGTGCTCCGAAATGAATAAGAGGCCAGTGTGCTGTGAAGATGACGCTGTCATTTCCTGAACAACCATTATTTTGTGAACAATTCCTCACAGCATGAATCATCTCTGGTCATGTGACACGATGAAACGCTGCATAATAAGCAACACGGTCATCTCACAAATATGAAGCCTCTGTAGTTACTCCTAGCTAATGGGTGGGTTCTCATCTCATTCTGACGTCAAAGTTCTTCTGCTGATCATGTGAAATAAATAAGTCACATTTAGTCTGACGTTGGTAAACCCCTGGTGTTTTGCCAGTCAGCACAGATTCATGTTGTGTTTACTTGTCAGCCATGTTGTAACCTGTATGACCGGTCATGTGATGTGGATCCCACATGCCCAGACAAGCAGTACTTGGGAAGCTATTCCTGAAAAGTAATTTGTTAGAAAATACTAGTTATTATGTCTGTATTGTAACAGCTGTAGTTATTCTATCTGAGCAGTTACTCGGTGTTGGGGAAAGTTACTTTTAAAAGTAATGCATTACAATATCGCGTTACTCCCTTAAAAAAGTAACTAATTACGTTACTTATGGAAAGTGATGGGTTACGTTACTTTTCATATCTGGGCTGGGCTTGCTTGTTTGTTGATGTATTATGGAAGTCAATGGGGACCAGCCACTGTTTGGTGACTAAATAATGACCGAATTTTCATTTTTGGGTGAACTATCCCATTAATAAAGACAAACAATATAATGGCAAAAAAGAAAGCATTGTTGAGCGAAGACTTGTTATTTACTGTAAATAACTGCATTTTCGTCTTTCAGATTTGGGACACGGCGGGTCAGGAGCGCTTTCAGTCTCTGGGCGTGGCGTTCTACAGAGGGGCGGACTGCTGCGTGCTGGTGTACGACGTCACGGCACCAACTACATTCAAGACTATGGACAGCTGGAGGGACGAGTTTCTCATTCAGGCCAGTCCTCGTGACCCGGAGAACTTCCCCTTTGTTGTGCTGGGCAACAAAATCGACCTGGAGAACCGGCAGGTCAGTCTGCAGACTGGAACGCCTTGGTTTTAAAGGATTCAAATTCGTAGAACGACTGCAAATATGTCACTTTTAATAAGCTTACTCACCAGCCACACACCAGATGACCTTTATAGATACTGTTTGATATCAGATGACTGCATATATTATATATAATATAATGAGATGTGCACTATACCATTCAAAAGTTGGGGGTCGGTAACGTCTTTCAAAATCATAAATGATGATAATAATTCCAAACTTTTGAATGCTACTGTAATTCCTATATGGAATATTCCTAAATCTGTGAGTAAATGTCCTTGGTCATAATTCCCCCCCCCCCCTCAAAAAAATGAAAATGTGAAAATAAGCAAAAAGATTTGTTTTAAATAAATGAATACTTCTATGCAGCAGGGATTCTTTGAATTGTTCAAAAGTGACAGTAAAGACTATTTCAAATAAATACTGTTCTTTTAAACTTTCTATTCATCAAAGAATCCTTAAAAAAGCATAACAGTTTCCAAAAAACAAAACAAAAGGAGCAGCACAACTGTTTTCAACATTGATAATATCAGAATCAGAAATGTTTCTTGAGCAGCAAATCAGCATATTCGAATGATTTCTGAAGGATCATGTGACACCCACAATTTTAATGGTAGTCTATGTGAAGGACCCTTATTGGCCAATGATCTCATAAATAGGCAAATAGCCAGAATTAGAACTGGGAACATTGTCGATCAAGAGAATATCAAGTGACTTAAAAAAATAATAATATAAGCCATGTTGTAATTCATAATTTCATCCCCAGATCCTTTGTATTTTGTGCAGGTGACGACAAAGCGAGCTCAAGCGTGGTGTCAGAGTAAGAACAACATCCCCTATTTTGAGACCAGTGCCAAAGAAGCCATTAACGTGGACCAGGCCTTCCAAACTATCGCTCGCAATGCACTCAAACAGGTACAGGAAGCTGTGAATACCTGTCTTTCAGAAATATCAAACTGTTACAAATATGTCACTTTTAATAAGCTTACTCACCAGCCACACACCAGATGACCTTTATAGATACTGTTTGATATCAGATGAAAAATAATCTGGCAATAATCAGTCATTTATTGCCTTGTTAAAAAGATAGTTCACCAAAAAAAAAGAAAATTGTGTCTTGATGCAATTTACTCACCAAGCCTATAAACTTTCTTCTATAGAACACAAAAGGAAACATTTAGTAGAATGTTCATGCTGCTCTTTTCAGTACAAAAACTCCATGCAATAGTTTGTACAATTTGTGCTATATTCTCCTGATCCAATAAGTCTGATAGGTATGACGTTTTTCACTATAATTATTGCCTGTAAAATCTCATTTGTGAATATTCAGATATGCTGTATGAAACGGATTTAATGTCCGTGATGTTAGAGATTCAGAATATTAGACTTAAACATGGGTCGCGGAAGCGGGGGGGGGGCCGCCTGGGCCTGGACCCTTACAGAGCCTATGTATGCACGTTTAATCATTAAAAGATCGCGATCTTGATTCAAACACTCGCGATCTTATTCCTAAATGACGGTGATTCTGCTATGTCGATTAAACCTTTGAAATCCCAATCACATCGGAATATTTAAAAATGCTTTTGCGCAGCCGCTGATCCAGAGAGAGCAGCGCTCATCGTGTAAAGCTTTGTTTGAAACCGCTTCACAAACAGTCTACTTACACAGTAGGCTACATTTCTGTGTTGCAAGTGTAGGAAACGGTTTCCTCGTCGAAGCAGAGACCAGGAGACGCTGGGATATCTTTCATACAGAAGTCACTCTTTATTGAGGACTCGCTGTGCGTCGCTGCAGTCATCCAAGTCTAACCAAGGCAGTGATACATTGTAGTTTATATACATATTTAAAGGGGGAGGGATACATTCAGTAGAGGTGGAGACAATCTAATCCATAGCATGCAAATGAAGTACAGGCAATCAGCCCGACACTGGCATTTCCCCAGCCTTGATCTCATCAGCATAACAGTGTCATTCAAATGCATAGGTGCTAATTCAATCAGTATAACTACTCAAAGACTGGGGCAGAGGCACCAAGAGCCATTACAAACAAAAGGTGATAGTCTCAGTAATCTGGTTCATTTGACTAACAATAAGAGAACAGGAACCTCTTGCTACACTTTGCTTAAGATAATAATTTGTCTGATGTAATTTACCTTAAATGCTAAATACAATGTACTTCACCTTAGTTTTTCATGTGATGCTATGTCAGAACATAGGATCAGCATATTTTAAACAGATTCGTAAATTTGTAATCCCACACAAGCATTAAATAATAACGAAAGTATTGCTAAAAGTTTAAAGTCCGGATGTAGACTCTGATGTTGCGGGAGCCGCGATCAAAATGGGTCTTTGAAAGTAATGATTGTATATGTTACATTATTCCAGTAGGTGGCGACTGGCGAACCGTGAGCGTTAAATGTATTTGATGTCTAAATCATTCATTCAAGAGATTCAAAACGAAACAAGTCTATTTAAAATGATTTTTATTAGAATTCGTTTAAATTAATAAATATTTTTAATAGACTCATTTACTATAACATTAATAAAACATTTAGTCAGAAACTCAATTAAATTACATATTTCGTTTGGTTGTCTGTTTTGTTTTCAGAATCGTGGGAGAAGCGTAGCTTAAAAATGCATAGGCTACTATATGTGGCAACTAACTAACACCATTAGTAGGTAATATATTTATTATTTTATAGGTAATATTACTACTGTGGAGGGCGGGGGCGGGCCCCCCCTCCTTTTGGTTCGTTCCGCGATCCTTGGACTTAAATATTGGTATTTTTATCATGCAAAGCCATTTTATGACTTCAAAAAAATTGAACATAGTGAAGTATTGATACTTTATGATAATAATATGAAAATAAGTCATATGAATTATTTTTATGGGACTTGTCCTTTCTTGGATCATTTGAGCCACTGCTTTCATTGTATGGACAAATTTAACATGAACATTCGGCAAAATTTCTTCTTTTTTGTTTTATGTAAAAAAGAAAGTCAGTTTTTGAATGGCAAGGGTGAGTAAACAATGCCATAGAAGAACAATTTCTGGTTCCCCAAAGAACCTTTCTAAACAATTTTTTTTAAATAACTTGTTTTTTTTTCTCAGTTTGAAAAACATTTTGAAAATCTAGATACACTTGTCCACTGTTAAGAACCTTTTGTGGAATGAAAACATTCAAAACTTTTTTTTAAATAAATAAAGGTTCCAAAAAGTTTTTTTTGAAGTGATGCCACTGAAGAGCCAGTTTAGAACCTTTAAGTTAACCATTTTTTTCTTCGTCTGAAAAACTTTGTAATCTGAAGAACCTTTTTCCACTATAAAAAAAAAACTTTTGTTCAATGGAAAGGTTGCATGAATGAGAAGGAACCATCAATGCCAATAAAGAACCTTCATTTTTAGGAATGTATTTAACTGGCTGGGTTTTGTCATTAAAT